ATAAAATATAACATAATGCAATTTATATTGTAAATGTTATAAATAATTTTAACAACATTATTTTAAAACAAGTTTTGTGTATAGACTGGAAAAATAAATATATGTATTGAATTAAGTAAATGTTTAAATTTCGCTATGAACTATGTGCTATGCTACATTTTAATTTTTGACATATTAACTCATACTGGCTGCAAAGAGATATTTAAGAAATGCATTCAAGTTTCATAATGATGGAGTCATGGGTGAGATGTCACATGCACACAAACAGACACAAAACTTCCAAAACCCTTTCCTTCATGTAGGAACACACAATGATAAAAGCATATAAGCTATGTGGTACATGGTCCTAAAATACTTCCACCATAATAAGTAGTCCAACACAACAAAGAATCAGAAAAACAAGCAAGCTATACATGACACAAGTGAAAGCAAGCTTTTCAAGAAAACAAACACTAACGCAAAACTTGTAGCACCAAACCACACCATTACCTGCGGGTATATTACACTGGCAATTGGAAACATTCTTTCTCTCTTACAGACACAATTATAGAGTTATTTTGGCACATATGTTTGAATATAACATATTCTTTTCAACTCTTTACTTGAACCCTAGATGGATTCAGGCAAACTAAAGCCAAAGACAGTATAAACAAAGGTAACAGGTTGGGATATAAAAGGAAGCTATTATCACCTACATTAAAGTATGATGAATGCCTGTGTAGAACATCGAGAGAGAGAGAGAGAGAGAGAGAGAGAGAGAGAGAGGAAAAATTTAAAAAGGCTGCATTGGTCATCCATGCCAGCATTTAAATTCAGTACCCCTCATCATATCTTTCAGCACCTACATATATTTAACGATATACATTACTTAGAACATGCATTTTCCTTCCAAAAGTCATAGTCTGGATTGTTGGGTTATTGGATCTTGTCCATTGTCTGCAGTTATAAAATTATACAGTGTTTTCAGGATTGAATCTGTCCTTGTTTTCAGGTGTGGTGAAGGGGAGTGGCACCTACTCCACGGGGTCCATTAGAATAAGCTAATCTCAATCAATGGACAACCCAGGTCAGATCCACTGCAAGCATATAAGCACCTGAGATCAGGTTATGTCACCTTGAGATAATGATAAGATTAACAATAAAAATTATAAGGCATAGGAATGTCAAGAATAAGGTAAATGTGGAAATGGAAATTAAAATACATCAAACCAAATCCAAAACCACCCAATCCAGGAACCCCATGCAAGAAAAATACAAAATATTACCTTCTCAAGATGAATGATAAGTTCTTCCAACAAAAAGATGGCATGGCTATGGGTAGCTCTGTGTTCAGACATGTTACACAAAGTCTTCAATCATCTCAGTAGTCTCAGAATTTCCATCCAGTTTGAAAGTGTGTTTCCTTTCCTGGATGTTCTGGTCATCAGAAAGGGGCTGATATTGGCCATTAGAGTTTATAGAAAACCCACCCATACTGGCTGCTACTTAAACTTTGAATTGAATCATCCACCATGTGTTAAAAGTGAGATAGTTCAGAGACTACACAGCACAGACTCTGCCATGTGCCAAGAACAAGACCTACTTGATGAAATTGACAAACTGAGACTCAAAATTTCAGCTAAATGGTTACCCACCATGTTTCATTGACATGGTTCTCAATTCCAGGGGAAGTAGTTGTCTGGAAGAAGGGAAAAAGCCACTGGGTTTAGTGTTTATTCCTTACATGAAGGGCATTTCTTTAAGTTTGAATGTATAAGGAACTGCTATAACATTAGGGCAATCTTCAAAATAAGACACACTTTCAGAAGTTTACTTGTGAGAAAAAGACCAGAGAGAAGTCCACAACAGATGGCCCATTATGTCTACAGCATTCCCTGTGAATGCAGGAGAAAATACATTGGTGAAGCAGGGAGACCACTAGCCATGTGCATGAACACAATCTGAGAGAAGATTTTTTATAAAAATTAAAAATGGCCCATCATGTCTATAAGGAGGGTCATAGGGTAAGTTGGGATGAAGCTAAGATTTTGGAACTTGAGAATAATATCAGATACAGGAAATACAACGAAGCAGCCCATATGGCGTGTCTAACAAATCCATCAGCCAACCTAGTTTGGAAATTTCTGATTTGGATCCCCATCTTCAGCCAGGAGATTACCAACTCTCAAGGAAGGTCAGTTGTTACTTGACAGACTCTGCTGTGTACTTCCGTGGCTCTGCTTCAGGCTGTATTTTTGGGCCACTTATGATGCTACTAGTAGACAGATATGATAGAGGAGGTCATACTTCGTATTTCTCTTGCACAGGGTTCCTGGATTGAATGGTTTTGGATTTGGTTTGATGTCTTTTAATTTCCATTTCCAAGTTTGTCTTAGTATTGACATTCACAAGCCTTCTAATAGTTTCCATTGTTTATCTTATAATTATTTCCAGTTGACATAACCTGATCTCAGGTGCTTAACACTTGTTCTTACCCGGATTGTCCAGTGATTGATATTAGTTCTTTCAAACAGACACCACATAGTAGATGCCCTTCCCCTTCACCACACCTGAAGACAAGGACAGATTCGGTCCTCGACAGGTTGTGTAATTTTATAACACCACACAATGGACATGGTCCAAAAACCCAACAATCCAAATTGTGTTACACCATCATTAGAACTATTCAGAATATAAAGTCATCAACATATGTAATCTATGTGTATCATAGATTGTTTAAAGTTGATGCATCAAACCAAGGAGGATCAGATGTGTGAGGCAAGGAAGAAGAGAGATGCATGCAAAACATTACTGAGAAAACCTGCAAGGAAGAGACCACTGAGGTCCTTTGGTATTGATGGAAAAACAGAATAAATAATTGTGGATCTTAAATGCTGATTCTGTGCTCGATCAACTACTGATCAGATATTATGCATTCATTACATACTAGAGACAATGAAATAAAATATCATCTATTCATAGACATTAAGAAAGCCTATGGCTCAGGTGGGTGAAACATATTATACTGTAAACTTCTACAACATTAGACAGCACTACAACCGAGAAGACAGTCGTCTTCATACTCATCACCATGAGAACCCCAACCCCTCCAATAGATATGCACCTCTGGGTACCATACAAGGCAGGAATTTCTTGACTAGGTGGTGTACCATCGGATTATCAAGAGTTCTGTTCAATGGAGTTAATTAGATAGGATGATATTAAAACTGATAATGAAAGAGGTTTGAGGAAGTAGACTGAATTCATCTGGTTCAGGACAAGGTGCTCTGGTGAGCCTTTCTACCATGGTAATGATCCTTCAGGCTCCATAAAACACGGAATTTACTGATGAGCTGATCAAATGAACTAACTTCACAAGGATTCTGTTCACAGAGTTTCTTATTTGTACAACAAAACTTATACCTCATAAGGTGTAAAATTGTATGTTTTACATGTATCATAAGTTATTTAAAAATCATAAACAAATTATATAAGCTGATAACATAAAGTGAAGAAGCAATAGTGGCCAACAAAGATATGAATGAGACACAGTGATCTTAATCCTGTCTTATCTGCTTCTGTATTATAACTGATGCAAAACAGAATGTCACCTTAAGTCGTCTATGACTTCAGGTAACAATACTATCTAAAAGAATTACCAAAAAAATAAACAATAGTAAAAGTATACTAACCCAGCTCCGCCTCCAGCCCCAAATAATATGTGGGGCAAAGTGCCATTCTGTATTCCAGAGGTTTTCTTGAATTATCACACATATGCTTTTAATAATTTAACAGTATTTGCATAAAAGAAATGTAACTGCCACCAGTGTGCCAACAAATACATAAACACACACACAGAAGCACGCGCGCAAGCATGCATGCATTCACCCACACATACATATCACACAATGCAATATGTATGATGGATAAGTCATGTGCAATTCATTTTATCAAACAAAAAGAAAAACAATAATAATAATGTCAACATAAATTCACGTGCATAACAGAAATCAAAATGTGCTTCATGTGCCAGTGCATGCATGTGTAGTCTGCACATCCTTAGATCCATATGGATGCAGATACTTATCACATTGGTTAATTGTAGATACTGAGATCTCAACATATCCTTTCCTCCATAATCTGAATTCATTCAAATTAAAAATGTAAGAGTTGGTAAGATTCTGACATATGTTTATATGGTCAATGAAACCATTTCACCCAATGACAGTTGTACAAAAATGTACAAAAACATGACGTGACAGCAAAATGCATGCACAGTCATATTATAACATCATCCAGTTTTCACTGTGACAAACATATCTTACCCAACTATTATTAAGGGAAAGGATATGAAAAATTTTTAATCCTAAAAAGGTTGAAACAAAACAAATCTTGTAAATAAATGCACAAACATTTATTTTACAAAGGAAAAGAATATGAAAAATGTGTGCAAAAAAAATGTGTTAACAGAACTTTGTTTTTATCTGTAACATTTAAATAGGAGTACAATATTTATCCCACTTCCCTCCTTACAATCACACATACACACACACATCTACATTAACATGCAAACTAACACAATATCAAAAATAATACTTGAATGAAATCATGAGTATATGCAATACAGTTGTGTCACTTTTACAAGTAAATCAACTCACCACAAGTTTCTCACTTTTCAGTTTCAGTTCTTGCTCTAAATTTTCAATATGGGCCTTCAAGTCTGATATCAATCCTGACTCCAAGGCTAATGGCAACATTTCTCTGCTGTCCCACTCACTGCAATGATGGTCTCTTACTTGTCCTTCTCCCTAGAAAATAAACATAACTTGTACAGATAACATATGGTACCTTATTATGGGTGTATAATTCAGAGCTATATCTATCAATGCACATGTCTAATTCCCGAGACAACACACAGACAACATGAAAAATGTAAGACAAAATGCCAGTAGAAACTTATGACAAGAAAAAAGGAATATCTGAAAGACATGAAACAATAAGCTTCAAACAAACAGTAAGGACAAAAATATTAGCCACATGCACAGAGAGACAAACTAATTTAAGAACACTTCCCATTCTTCAACTAACTTAAGCTAACTTAAGAATTATCTGCTTGGTCAAAGAATTACTTTACCAGCTATTGATGAGGTTAATAATTTTACGCAGACTGATATACAAAAAGCTGAGCCATTAATGCATGAGCCTTGCTCTTCTGAAGCCAAAACACTATTGAAAAGTTAAAACATAAATCTTCAAATATTGATTGAATTCTGGCATAAATGATAAAAGCAGGAGGTAAAACAACACATTTTATTATCCAAAAATTTATTAGTTCTATTTGGAATAAGGAATAACTGCCACAGTAAAGAACAAAATCTGTTATTTCACCTATTTATACAGAGTGATAAAATCAAGAGATATCACTTGAATAAAAATGTCCTTGAATATTTTCCATCGTCTAAGATATAATAAAATACAAAATGACATTTCGGAGATGGGGCTCTATCTCCGTCTTCAGGTACCTACTCTGTTGGGCCCAATAGATAGAACTAAACCCTATCTCCAAACGATGGAAAATATCCAATGAAATTTTTATTCAAATGACTCACCATCATCACGAACTTTTAGAAGATATATCACTGTTATGAACTACATACAAAATTGCACCCAACATTCTTCTGCCAAGGTAAACTCTTTATGTAGATTAAATTATTCGGAGTCATCAGTCTGTATTTTGGCATAATCAATCAACTAACTACTGATAATATATTCTGTATTTATCACATGCTGGAGAAAAAAAATTGGATTACAATGGGACAGTACACCAGCCATTTACAGACTACAGAAAGTATATGATTAATTTAGAGGGCATGTATTATAAAACATTCTCACTGAAATTGATATAACAATTAAATAAGTTAAGGCAATTAAAATGTTTCAAATGAAACCTATAGCAAAATCCTAAAGGCCTGATGCACTTCGTTATCACAACAGTCTGAAACAAGGAAACCCTTATGACAATCAGTCCTTCATGTTAAGGGAAGAACACAGACAGGGTGCTGAGGCGAATATTTTAACCTAAGAGAGATGAAGTAATGGAGGGTGGAGAAACATGCATCATGGAGAGCTCCATAAACTTACTTGTCACTAGTGTCATCAAATCAAGGAGGGTGAGATGGGTGGAGCATGTAGCATCAATGGAGGAAATAAATCCACACAACATTTTGGATGGAAAACCTTATGTGAGGAAACCACTTAGAAGACCTAGGCACATATGGGAAGAAAATATAGAAAGCATATTCGGGAAACAGTGTCTGAAGCTGTGAAATGGATTCACAGAGCTCAGGGCAGGTAACAGAGGCAGGGTACTGTGAACTCAGTAATAAACCTTCGGGTATTATTACTATTCATTGGTTTCTAAAGAACTATGCTCCAAATAGTTTGTTAATTAGTAATTCAAACTCTAAATACTATCATTAACTTCTTTTACTGTCCTTCATTATACAGAAATTTAATTATTTGGAATAGAGTATAATTTGTCAGTCCACATTAGTTCACTATACTGAAATTTTACTGTATGGGGGTGTGGAATACCAATTTAAACATACGAAAGTAACTGTATCTGCTCCTTACCCCAAAACCAGAGTCTGTATAGTCATCAATGCCTAAATCAGCTTCCACTCCACTTTCACTATGATGGATTTGAAGACCTATAACAAAGTAATTTAAAAACATTATACAGCAACATGAAAAAAGATGCATCAATTGTAATCACCACTGGAATGGAGCATTCTTTCAATTTAAGATACTCAGACCTTTAAATGGATAAGCTGTCGTCATGCTTAAGCACAAATGCATAAACACGCTAGATGCATCACAGTATTCCTACATGCATATTTAGCCTAGGCATTAGATGGATGTGATTGGTCAGGTACATGTTCTGGCTACAGGCCTGCTAACCATTAGAGAGGATGAGATTTAAACCCCACTCACCCAACAGAAGCACAGTAATTTAAATAAAGAAACTAATACATAAAAAATTATAAAATTAAATCTGAAGGTTTGTGGCAATTGTGTAGTATTAAAATAACAGACTTCCTGCACATTATCCATCATCTTAATATAATAAAAATATGACATTATGTAGACCAGAGTGTCTCCATCCTCAGGCATGACCTACTGTGTTGGGCCCAAACAATACAATTAGTCCCTATCTCAGGTCTGGAGATGGGTTAAAATAGAGCTGATTTTACCTGAGGGCACAGACAGACTCAAGACTCCAAAATATCATGTTTTAATTATATTAAGACAATGGATGTCTCAGAAGTTTCTTATTTTAAATTATAACATTTATTCACAGCATAACAATTGTGGCATGTTTACCAGAATTTTACATGACCTTTCTGAATGGTTTAGGAATTCCCTGACTGGAGACTCCCCATGCAAGAACTCTCCAACCACGGCAAGAATGCAAATTGTGCCTAATAAAAAAGTAACACTTGCAGTTCCTTGTTACTGTACTGGTCTAGTGTTCAAAAGGTCCTGGGGCCAGTGGTAAACATACTAGCATAACAATGAACACATACCTGACCCAAACCCAACCACTGCCACTTTAAAATGGTTAACCTAGTGGTAAGATACTAGCCTAGTATTCAAAAGGTTCCAACTGTTGTAAGACTTGAGGTTCTCACAGCGGTGAGTATCCAACTGTTCCCAGGTAAAAACCATAATAGACAGCAATGAAAGGAGGGTTAAGGTCCCAGCCAGCCCCACTCCATACACAAAGTAAACAGAAACTATAATCTAAACTATGACTTTCATAATTGGCCTGAGTTTGATCCAACTATTACCACTAATATATGAAGTTGAAAAATGTAAACACAGTGCAACAGTTCCATCAGCTTTGCTGTTATTACATCTAGATTTTCATTCTGCAAATTACACTTTTGATGCTCTAAGAAACATGTGGGGCAGATGAGCACAAACCTTCAAGAGAACAGATCTCAGTTTGAAACTACAGCAAACAGAAAATTCAGTTTATACCTTGAAGAAGACAATAAGTCACCATTACAAAGACCAATGGATTGGTCTGACACTGTCATGGCAAACAAAATATTCAGTTGCTATAGTTTGTCCCACTATACGCCATGTAGGCATTTGGGGTGAGAGGAGGTATAGCTCCTCTCTTCCTTGACCTCGGCACTAGATGGGGGTGAGTGGTCAGCATCACGCCCCGGCCGGCTTTACCCCCGGGAAAGGACCCCGGTACCCATTGTAGAGGAGGCTGGGTGGGCCCCAGAGCCGGTCTGGACGCAGAGGCTAGAGGAAAAATCCTGCCCCCATCGGGGATCGAACCCCGGTCGTCCAGCCCGTAGCTAGTCACTATACTGACTGAGCTATCCCGGAGTTGCTATACCAAAGTAAATTCTAGATGTTACCACAACAAAGATAATTCTTGTTCATAGGTTTCTGTGGCTGGAGTAAAATGTATAAATTCGCCTTCTGGGCAAGACATGTCAAAAGCTTGGTGTTATCCAACATTTTGGTAAACATTGCAGTTGCCATTTTCAAGGTGGTTATGACTGATAACAGCCAGAGACATCAAATCAACCAGTGACTGAGAAATGACCAGAGCAGATCCCTTGAACAGTTGAAGTGAAAGCATCCATATATGGTAGAAGGTCCAGGAAATTGTAACATTTATACTGTTTATCTTTCACAATTAAAATAAAAAGACCTTCAAGCACACACCATGCTGGTACATTTATAAGAGTGCAGCATCATAAAATCATTATAGTAACTAATCACCAAATAACCCAACTACCATGGAAATACCCATGATGCATTCATTTTATAAAAAACTGACTCAGAAAAACTGGCATAAATATTTAATCATAAGACTTTTTGACTCTGATATTTTCTGAACACGTAGCAGCATTAAGATGGCTGTCTTCTGAGTAGTTATACTGCGTACTCCACCATCAGGATGATGACGGAGGCAACAAACACCTCTGAAATATCAGTAAACGTCTACTGGACTAAATGGTGCTAGAACCCAGAAGGCGGCCATCTTCATATGTGGCATAATAAGAACCTCAAATCTCACCAAGTAGCAGTGTATCACTGTCTGTTAGTCACCTCCTCCAATCCATGCATAAGCAGTTTCTTGTGAAAACCTTACAAACTAACCTAAACTGAAGTTTTACAATTTTCAGTGATATACTACCCCACCTCACTTTAGATTAAGTGTAACTAATGTTTCTCTCACCTCAAAAGTGGCATAATATTCAACATTTCATAAAAACCATCATGTAATTCAAAAGTCAGTAGATTGGCGAAAAATACATGAATGGGTATATGACTTTAACTCACAAGTTCTTTATAAAAGACAAGTGGGCTAAAAAATTCAAATATGCACACTCAATTGCTTCCTCTTGATATATACAGCTATAAATATTAAAGATTAAATTATATAAAGCTCCTTGCTGTTTTGTCTGAGTGAGATACCTGGTAATTTACATTAAGGACAAAGCACAGATCAGGTTATGATGTTCAACAACAGGATCCTTATGAGAATGTTTCACCTAAGAGAGATAAAGTGACAGAAGGATAGAGAAAACTGCTTATTGAGAAACTCTATAATTTGTACTCTTGGA